TAAAATTGGCGGAAGTCTCGCGAGCAACGTGTCAATATGTTGTTACCAATCTTAGTTCGAGGTTAGAAGGAGTAAAAGTCGGCATCTAGCCGACATTATTTTTTCCAAATAAATTTGCAGTTCAGTGTATTGGGTCCTTACATATGAAATTAGCGTTTTGTCAAATCAGTACGTCACGTAACGTCGATCGGTACGATACGTAATAGTGTCGTCGTACTTTGATCTGAAATATCTCCTCTGGTTGAGAATTCCAAATTCAAATTTATAAATTCATTTAGCTGGTACATTTTAGTTTTGAAAACAGCCATTCATTTGCCAAAAAAAATGAGGAAAATCTCTTTTTTTGGCGTCTCTTATTATCGCACAATGGAAAACATGAAATATCATAATATATTTACGAGTACGAGTTATACCGTGGCACCAGTGCTTCAGAAACAGCTCGAAGGATTAATGATGTGTACGGCGCTGGTGTCGCAAAAGAAAGCACGGTACGTTTTTGGTTTCAACGTTTTCATTCTGGAAATTTCGACCTTCAGAACCAACCCCGTGGACGGCCGGTGACCAAAGTGGAATATGAAGAATTAAAGGCTATTGTGGAAGCGGATCCATCACAAAGCACTTCATACATTGCTTATGTCAAAAACCATCTCAAGTTTACACTAATACCACATAAAAGTATCATGTTCGAAAACATAACGGGTATCTTAAAACTGACCCCGAACGTAGATGTAGTTGTATGTGCAAATTATAAACCTCACATATTTGCGAGGTTCCCCACATCAGATCCGTACTCAGCTGTGTTGGACGTTGCATTAGCTGACCATCGGGGCATAGTGTTTACGTGTCTTGACGACTCGCCACATACACGACGCGTACAGAAAGTAACACAAAAAACTACTTTTGATCATACCATTTTTAGTAATGCGGTGAGTATTACAGATTGGAAACAGACAAATAACATGAGTTCGTCAAATGATATACTTTCATTTATAAAAAAATCGTTCCTAACAGCTATAAAGACTGCGACTATTAGTAGGTCTGTTAAGTGTTCTAAAACTCGTAGGAATCTGCCTATAGCCCCTTGGATCAATGGAAATGTTACCCGATTATGTGAAAAAAGGGACTACTTATTTAAGCTTTGGAAAAATAGCTCTTTTGATCCTAAAATAAGACTAGAATATAATAAAACTAGAAATAAACTCAATAAACTAATAGAATCAAAACGATATACATACTATCTTAATGAAATACATAATAACTTTAAAGATACAAAAAGAGTTTATAAAATCATTAACTAGATGTTAGGACGAGTAACATTATCCATTGACGAGGCGATACTGAAGGCTTTTGACGGACAGGGCCTTACCACCAAAGCGATAGCTAACAACTTCGCAAACAGCTTTGAAAAGGCAGTTAAAGACATTGTTCCTCAATGCAGCTTAAAATTAACCAATCCACTAACTTATCGGAGACCGGTGGATTCAAGTATTTTGTTCAAAAAGTTTCTCAGAACAATGTTAACGAAATTATTAAGAGACTGAACTCACATAAGGCTCCTGGACCTGACGGTATAGAGTAGCTGTTATCTATCTAAAAATGGTTGATAAACATATATCCTTACCCTTTGCCAATTTTATTAACTGCAGTCTTACGTCTGGGGAATATCCCGACGACCTCAAAATAGGCTGTGTGAGACCTGTTTTCAAAAAGGGCAAACACGATGATTACCCCAACTAACTACCAATCACTCTGCTAATATTGACAAAATAGTTGAAAAAGCTATCTGTGAGCAGATTCATAATTTTTACCGCAAGCACGAAGTCATAAACAAAAACCAGTACGGATTTCAAGCAGGTAAAAGTACTACGGACCTTCTATGTAAGTTTACAGATGAGGTAAACCAGCATTTGAACCTTAAAAAATGTGTTCTGGCCTTGTTTATTGATTTTCTCGTGCCTTCGACACGCTGCAACATCAACTCTTAAATCCATAAACTGGATGATTGTGGTATCCGGGTTCCGTTACTTAATTGGTGTAGAAACTACCTCCAAAATCGTACATTTACAGTTAAATTAAATAACGCGTTCAGTGACCCTAAGAATGTGACAGAAGGCACGGCCCAAGGATCAGTGCTTGGCCCGTTGCACTTTTTATCTTAAGTCAACGAGATGAATAACTGTCTGAAACACAGTTCCTGTTACCAATTCGCAGATGATACGTGTCTTCCCGTTTCGGGTAAGGATGTCTCAAATGCGTGTAATGCTCTCCAGGCCGATTTAGACATGTTGATAAGATGGTGCCATGACGTTGGTCTAGTGTTAAATGCCAATAAAACCAAGCTCATGATTATCAAATCTCCATATATGAGGTATCCTACTCCAAAACCATTAATTGCTCATAATCACGACTGCCTCCATCAACTAGGAACTTGCCAATGCCCTACAATCGAAGTTGTGACCACACAAAAATACCTTGGCCTTATAATTGACTCTAAGTTTAACTGGAACTACCACATTGAACATGTGTGTAATAAGTTGCGTCAGTTTCTAGCCAATATAAAAATCCTAAAAAATCGCATACCCTTCAAAGTAAGACTTATGCTTTACAACTCCCTGGCTGAATCTTATATTCAGTATGGCTTGTCACTATGGCGGAGTCAAATCAATTTAAAACAGATCTATGATCTTCAATTTAGTATTCTCAAAAATATTATATCACCTAATATACGTGTCCTAATTAATTGATGATGATGAAAGTGCGATTTTTAAACATTGTAAAATCTTACCAGTTTATGACCAAAATAAATTCATGTTATTAAAATATTTCTTTTGCGACAGTTTAAAATCATATATAGAACATCCAGTACGTACGCGCGCTAAGACATAAAACCGACTCCGGCATATCACTGCTAATAATGTGTACGGGCAACGGACGGCTGCTTATCATGTACCGCATTTAATAAATACCTAACTTACCTTTCGATGTACGCGAAAAAGTATCACAACAAAACATTAAAACTAAACTCAAAAGCTTTTTCCTATCTAAATTATAATTACATACTATATCTACTTAATAATAATGTACTGCCTGCCTAGCTCTTACTTTTACCTTGCTCTGACTTTAACTAAGTTGTTAACTTACCTTTTTAGTCTTTATATTCTTGTTATACCTTTTACCTACTCATATACCTAACTATTGAATTAGACTGTGTTTTGTACAGAATTCGCTTACTAAGTTTAATTATTTAGCATCAAGGTAAACCTCTGTGGTTTTTAGATGTTAATTAAGCCTATATCGGAATGTCATTTTTGTTTGATCTGATAAATAAATTAAAAAAAAAAGTAATAACTGCAGGCTTCGGGGTAAGTCATAAAACTGTATTACTCCACTTGAAGCAAATCGGGAAGTAAAAAAACGATGTGTACCTCATGAATTGAGTGAATCGAACTTGCAAACACGCGTCGACCGCTGTTTTACTTTGTTCAACCGACACAAAAATGAAGGGATTTTAAATCGAATCATTACTTGTGATGAAAAGTGGATACTGTACGATAATCACAAGAGCTCGTCGCAATGGCTGAACCCTGGAGACCCAACCAAATCCTGCCCTAAACTAAAATTGACTCAGAAAAAGTTACTTGTGAGTGTTTGGTGGACTAGCGACGGTGTCGTTCACTACAGCTTTCTAAAATCTGGCCAAACGATTACGGCAGATATCTATTGTCAGCAAATGCAAACCATGAAGGAAGAACTAGCTGCTAAACTTAAATTAGTTTAATTAAAATTTTCGTATTTTTGAAAAATACTAAAAAAGGGCTCGAAATAATAGATTTTCTAACAAAAGAAGGGAACTTGAAAAAAAAGTCGGACCGAAGACAGGACGCGAACCAAGGCATAACGATTTCGCGACCGCTCGTTATCCACTTGAGCTATTACGATCATTAACACAATGTCAAAATTCACCTTCTTATATTGTAGCAGTTTTTCATTGCTGAAAATACGGACAAAGACATTTTCTAAAAATAAATCCTAGCTAGATCAATTCATTGCCCCCAAACCTCCCCGGACACAAAATTTTATGAAAATCGTTGGAGCCGTTTCCGAGATATATATACAAGAATTGCTCGTTTAAAGGTATACTATTTTTCATTTTATTTACATATCAAATACCCGATACAATAACCAACCACTTTCTGGAAACCTTGTTTAACTAGCCCACGGGTCGTCGTTTTCAAAAATCATTTCTAGTTTTATTAATTACTCAGCGAACAGAAAACAAGACAAAGTAGGAAATCTAACATTCTTGGCGCGCTCACAGGCGAAAGCGCTTTGAATTGAAACTTGTAGGGCGACTGAGCAGTCGAAGCTTCTTTGTATTTCTTTATATTTTCTTTTAGCTTGTTTAGAATTAAATATTAGACGTTTTTATGTATTACGATAATAACGAATAGTATTGTAATTTCTAATATCCACATATCCACATTACACAATAAAATTAACTCTAATTTAAGCTTTAATGGGGTTTACGTAAAAACCGTTTAATTTTGTAAAAAGAAAACACAATAAATTGCAACACTGTCCGTCATTATGACGTTACATAACAAAACATCCAATAATTAATTTTAAATAAACTAAAACTGATTTTTTTAATAATATAAAAACACATCAACTTATTGTTGCACCAAAACTTTTTCAAATTTAAAAGTTTTGTCGACTCAGGAAATCATTTGCGGAATCGACGCGCCAGTATGGCATGGCGCCGACGGACTTAGCCCGCTTAAGCAACCGCGTATAAGGGCGAGGTTTTAAATGTTTCCTACATTTTTCATAATAATTGTGCAATAGTGTATTCAGTGTATTCAGTACTGTCAAATAATTTATTAGAAAAACTATAAATATGTTCTATTACAACAACAATAAGGCACTAGGCAAATCAAACACAATACATTATTAAGTTAATAAATTTTATTATAAAATTTAATTTACAACATCTTATATACTTAATGTGCTTCAATCATTTCATTTGGGAACCACTGTGATGCTTCTAGACCGTCCCACAAAGATAACTCTGGTTCTAAAAATTCTTGATTCATTAAATCAATGTCTATGATTTTCTTGTGTTCTGAAAAACGAGAGAATAATAAACACTTCATAATATGTATTGTTTTAGCTGACTTCAAAAAAGAAGATGGTTCTTAACTGTTGTTAAGAACCAACTCCTTAACCATAACTGTTGTGCATGTTTATTTCACGGAAAATTAAAAACTACGCGAAGCGCAAAGTGCGGCACGCTCACGCGACTAATAAGCGCAGTACTGCCTAATTGAGTCAATTAGGCAGTACAGTAGTAATTGACAATTGAGTTGAGCATAGATGAACCACTCTGACAAATTATTAGGTGAAACTTCGATAGCGTGATTTGATGTATATAATAAATGACATAAATTGTGATAGTAGCGACATCTTTTGAATAAAATGTGAAAAACTAGTGCTTTCAACGACAATGAGATGGCATTAGTATGAACGTATGATAAAAGCAAGCGACTGTGGTGTGGTGTGTGTGTGTGTGTGTTTTTATATATATATATATATATATATATATATATATATATATATATATATATATATATATATAATGTACATTTATAAATAAATACTTTTACATACGTATATAATATATCAACACTAAGCAACATATAAAAGAATAAGATAATACTTTTATATTATAACAATAGATTGGCGAATAGATAAGTTATTGACTGCATTATTTTTGCCTACCGATCGGACTTTTACGAATGTCCGTGCGCAATAAAATCAGTTAAAATATTTTTTTATTAGATTTTGAATTTAAAAGATAAAAGAACAGAATGTTTGAGATATTTTTAAGTAATTTTTCTTCACCATATTACTTATTCTGAGCCTTCTCTGCAAAAGAGACAATCGTTTTTGAACGACCCCCAATAGTAGCACACGAAAATAAAGATACTTTTTTTGAAAAAAAAAATAAAGATAAGTTTTTGAAAATTTAATCAGAAGCGAAAAATGTGAAGAAAAAAAGAGTTGTTTTGATATTCATGTTCAGATCATTGGTTCCGGTAAAGTAATATTTAAAAAATAATTGTATTAGAGATGTGCCAACTCGGAAGAAAATCGACTTGAGTTAACTCGAGTTGAAATTCAGGTAACTCGAATTGAACTCGAATTACACAATTTAAATTAGCTGAACGAAGCTATATCAATTTGTCACAAATTATTTTTATATTTATTCTTCCATCCAACACGATTATTATTACTAAACTTAATAGGTTTCATTATATATTTTTGGTTCGCGTATCGACAATCTTCATAAAATAATACCACTAACGTTATGACGTAGGTCTTAAATTATACTTAATCAATTTATATTATACTGGATAACCTTTTTTACCGTCTGGAAAAAAATAGGCTGTAACATGTGAACGGAGTAGAAGCATATGGCACTGATATTTTACAAAAAATAAAAACAAAAATTTTGAATTAAACGTTTGCCCTTGAGCCTGTGACCCTGCGAAGTGACAAGGTCAAAGATGCCTACTAAATTTTTTCTATACTCAGAATCCTGATAACACCTTGAGCCATACTGTGTATAGAAAAAAGACCCATACAGATAGATATTTAAACGGTGATTCTCACCACCATCCTTCACAGTTAGCTACCGTGGGTAAATCTTTGTTTCAGAGAGCACGAGGGATCTGTGACAGTAAACGCCTGGCTGCTGAGCTCCACCATGTCAAGCAAGTTTTGCATGACAACTAGCTTCGAGTCCCGCGCCTACGTCACAGTGAATGAGTGAAGCCGGCCACAGTCGAGCGTGTACCTGCTGTACTGCCATATGTTAGAGGAGTCACTGACAAGATTGGCTACATTTTGAAGCGTGCTTCCATCAAAACATACTTCAAGCCGCTGAAGAAGATTGGTCAGTTTTTACCATCAGTCAAGTGTAATGTCCCTCCGCAAGATGCAGGAGTGTACAAGCTTGATTGTGAATGTGGTCTCTCCTACATAGGACAAACTAAAAGATCAATAAAAACCCGCGTTAAAGAACATATAGCTGATGTGAAGAATCGACGCTCGGGGAAGTCTGCAGTCTGTGAACACGTACAGGATCGCCCCCGTCACTACATCAGATTTGATAGACCGCAAATCCTCGCTAAAGAACACCGATTCCTTCCAAGGATGATTCGCGAGGCTATTGAAATCAAAAAACATCCTAATTTCAATAGAGAAGATGGCTGGTTGCTACCATCTGCTTGGGATCCGATAATAAATAAAATTAAATCCCAACCCAAGCATACAACTGCAAGACTTCAAGATACCATAAGTTCATACTGTATAGATCGGAACAAAAGTTAAATTTTAATCTATGGTAACCGCGGTTAACTATGACATACGGACGTTGAACATCTCAGTCCCGCCCGCGACCATGAGTGCTGTAAAGCGTTCGAAACGTCGGGTATTTAAAAAGTTAAATATACGCGATAAATTCCGTAAAAACTAGTATTATTTCAATTGGATTTAGATGATTTTTATGTATTGGAATAATATTTAGTAGAAAAAAAGATTCAGTCAAAGATCTTTCACTAAATTATTTTAGGGGATAAACTAGAGCCTCAGCACAGTTACGTGTAACTATAGGGGAAATATTATCTGTACCAGCTGGTTTATTGGGGTCAGATGATTTTAGAAGTTTAAGTATTATTCATTTATATTAATTTTACTAATAACACTTGACTCACTACTTATGGGTAAATTAAGGTTGGATAAATCTATACTTGTCTGGGACTTAGCAAACACACTTTCAAAGTACTTATTAAATTCCTTAAGGTCGCTGCATGCGTAACGTGTTTTATCCCGGACAGGGTGGGACGTGAAATTTTGGAAATATCGTTTCATAGAAAATGTACGTGATAATGTATACGTAACGGATGCACGGACGCGACGGGGACGTGGCATAAACGGGACGGGAAAAATATCGTCGGCGACGATGTTTACCCCGTCCCGCCCGGCGCGTGGCACATCCCGTCCGTGGTTCCGCTGCGTATGCATATTCGCTTCGTTAGCTACGCAGTGATGCGCGTGTTGTACCGAACGAAATGTACGACGAAAAACTAATTTAATGTGTATGATTATGTTCAAGTTTGTGTAATCTTACACAACATATTGAATACAAAATATAAAAAATTTTAGTTAGTACAAATTTTATTTTCCATTTATGTTGCCATACGAAAATACATATGAAATTGAGTCTAGTCATACAAAATTTTTTGTAGAGAGTGTGGTATGATTAGAAGGTGATCCTTCTAGTCCTATTTGCTACCACGTATGATGTACAGAACTCTTTTACTCTTGACTGTTGTAGCTTCTTTACCATCTGAAGCAATAGCAATTAATGCCAATTCTTCAAATGAAAAATACATCTTTCACAACACTAGTACATTATCGAGTCACTGTCACGGTGCGTATGCATTAAACTCCCATCCGTGTTGACATACAACCACGTTCCGTCTCCGTCCCGTGCACTTGCTGATTCCGTCTTGTATGCAGCGACCTTTACATATTCCTAATCCATTGTTATTTATATACATCCGAACCGTATGTTAACGTTGGAGGATAGTTAGATTTACCTCTTAGATTTTACATATTGCCACATTTATTGGGACAAACTTTCATTTGATTTTGAATACAAGTTTTATATTGCTTGTAAAGATCATATTCAACTCAAGTTGCTCTTCCAAAACATTTCCCTTTCTTGTGCATTTTTGCCTTTTTTTAGTATTCTAATTATACCATAAAGGGTAGCTTTTGTTGTTAGTATTAATATCTTACGTTTGGGAACATATAATTTTATACACTTGTGTAATTCTGAGGTAAAACAATTAATAGCGCAAACCACTGAATCACAAGAATTCAATAGTTCGCATCAATCAATTTTTTTTAAACTTTTATCATGTTTTCATAAATACATTTATGAAAATTACGTTTAAACGTATACTTTTGTTCTTTATGAGGCCGTATTGATGTTTGAGACATCAATTAAGAGGATAGAATGAGCGCTATTTTCATTTACTAATGAGTTAAAGTCCCTATTAATATTATTTTTTATAAGATTTAAAATTTATAATTTATAATAAATATTATGTTGGGGTGATAGAAAAATTAAAATAACTTTTTTTATGATTATACATTAATAAATGAATAAATGATCCATAATCTACGTTGAGAAATCCATTGAATAAATGGTAAATTGAAATCGCCTTCTATCAAAAAGTTGTCATAATTATGTAATGCATAGACTTGTGGAACGCTCCGTACTACACGTTCTATGATAAAAGATAACTGATTATTAGACAGTACATAAATAGCAGCTAAATGTAAATTAGAGCCCTCAACTGAATTAAAAGATATAGCAGGTATAGTAACCCAGATCATTTCAATAGTATAATGAACGATAAAACTTATTTAATTTCATAAATTTTTTCAAACTAAATTATCGCAAATACATTATAAATTTACGAATATGTAACTCATACACCACCGGACACCACACCACACACGGTCAGTTCAACTGATCATTCCAACTGATCAGTTCAAAATAAACTGTTGATATTTTTTAAATAGTGGATTTTCGATATATCGATCATTATAAATATATTAATATCGGAGTTTTACATATAAGTTAAGGCCCCAGTCTTGTCAAAATTAGTGTTCTCGCAAAATTTACAGCAAAACAAATATTTTTTATATTATTTAAAAAAGAAAAAGTGAAACATATTTTACATTTATTTATAAATTCGCACTTAAAACCACATAAAATAGAACTATTTTCAAGTTAATTAGAAATAAATAAAATTTAAAAAATATATTTTTTCGTACTTTTTACCTATATTTCATTTATAAACCAGAAACGGCTGAAAATTCTCTCCGTTGGGATTTCTCAGCGTTCAGGCGTGTGCAGTGTTGCTCAACGTTACTTAACCTCTCGCTCGCACGGTTGATCTCTTTCCCTCGCGCAGCTCTTATGGACTGAGCGGAGCATATCGTGAAAGTTGCTCTACTTAAATATATATTATTTTTATTTAATTGTCATATTAGTTCTAGTTTTTAGTGTATTTATGTTTATATTAGTATTAGATTAATTGACTTGGACTTTTATATTTGGAGAATTTCAGTTTTTTACCAAAAAAAATAAATAAACGGAAAAACATGGATAGAAAAAAGAAGAAATATCCTTGTGTCAGTAAAAATAGCAGTAAAAGTAGTATTAAAGTACAAAATGTACAAGGTAGAGGCGAAATTTGTATGAAGAGCCAGTTTTTATTTTCCTTCGGTTGTATATACTATAGTATATAATAGTAATGTTTATACTATATATATAATATAGTATAAACATTACTAAAAACGACATTTATGAAATATAAAAGGGTAATAAATTATACTACCACGACAAATGTAAAAGGAATATTTTTGGAAAAAAATTTAATAACTTATATATTTAATGAAGTAGAACAACCTTCACCTGCGATCTCAAACGTATTTATGCACGGGGGAGAGCACCCCCTCTAATGGCTGGTAATGTAAAACAGCAAAGCTAGACGGAAGCCTTAATAGTGTGTTGGTAGTGAATATAATGATAGTAAAATGTAAAAATGTTTTTGTGTCCAATGCAATAATTATGATGTTTAGTGTAAATCATAATTAGCAAATAAATTATTATGAACAAACCAAAAATAAATAATATTTTTGTGTATAATATAACGTTATTGTTTAGTGTGAAAGTGGGGAGTATTATATTAAACGGAAATATTCCAAATTAAACATTTCACTGACCCACGTATTTAAACTAATTAAAATCCAAATAATTTAATAATCATTGAGATATGTTTTTACCATGTCTAATGAAGAGGATATCAACTTACCAACAAGTGCTAAGTCATCATTTTGAGCCTTTACAGCAGCGACTTGTGCAGTATCTGGCACGACTGTGGCAGGAACTACAGCAGCATTCTGATCCCCTTGACCATAGTACCCTGACCATGCTGAATAATTTTGCCAATATGCCGATGGATCATAATATTGGTTATAATCCTAAAAATTGAAACTATTAATGGTTCAATAATTCTTTTATACTCGACATAGAAATAATATTTATTTCAGCTTTGGACTCAATGGAAAGGTGTGATGACCCAAATTTGATTAAAAACCAATTTTACCAGCCTCGAACACAGATGCAGTAGCCAGCCTATCGGTTTTCTACATAATGCATTTCGGAGGGTACAGAGGAATTGCATAACTTAATTCCTTCCTATCCCTTCCACAATCGGACTACCAGACGTTCGGCCAGTCTCCACCCTTTCGTTGTTGACTTACCACGCATTCAAGCCAAACGGTTTGCTACATCATTCGTCATGCGTACAGCAAAGTAGGGGAATAACTTGCCAGCGTCTTCTACCATCCGTCAGCTACCATCCGATAACAATGTTGATGTCTTCAAGGCTTATATAGGCAATAGGTTTTTGTAAAGTCAGTGCGCTTCACCATCTTAGGCTACATCACCACTTACCATTAGGTGGGGTTATAGCTAAGCGCTGGCTTAGAATAGTAAAAAAAATAATATATATATTAAAGACGTACCACGAACCACACTTTAATTATTTTTGTTTTTAATATTCATAACTGTACATATTAAAAGTATGGATTGCTATATATTATGATTCAATACATAAAGATTGTAGAATATTAATATTAAGCTAGGTTTATATTTTTAAGTTTATAATATTCTTATTAATATAGGTCATTTGAATAAAATTGAGTGAAATATGAAAGAATGCATGTGTGAAACATACACTTAGAACACTTTAATATGGCCACCAATAGCTAACAGATATTTTATACGTAGTAGAGCCATGCTGCAGTTATATTAGAAGTATAGTTGTAGCACGAATGGGTCGGCTCGACCAGGAAAGGACCACACTCTCACAGAATAGCAGCGTAAAATAGTAGCTTAACGCTGCTGTTTTTTGTATGGTGAGTGTAGAGAACTGGAGACCCTTTTTACTGGAAACGAGGCATTTCATCTTAGTCCTCACGGGTGACAACGCATCTGCATTTTGATCTGTAATCAAGGATAGATGTAAATGTCTATGGGCCGCAGCAACCAGTTACCATCAGGTAGACTATGTGCTCGTTTGTCACCCTATCCTATGAAAAAAAAGATAACTTTAACGAGAATGTCATACCTTAAAATAAATCTAGAAAATCTTACCGTCCCGCTGCTATATGTTGCATTGGCTGTTGTAGGAGTGGTTGTGCTCTGAGTTGTAGTAGCACCTTTAGGCTTTGGCACAGCTGTACATATTTTTAGAGGCTTGGAACCAAGGCCTGTATAACCATTCATAGCATACAAGGCGTTACGTTGCTCTTCTTCATTGCCAAAGCGGACAAAACCATAGCCTTTTGTATATCCTGAGCTGTCCAAAATTACTAAAATGATACCAAAGCCCCTTAATTAATATTATTTCTTTTATTCACTTAAGTGCATAAAAAATAAATCAATTTAAACAAATCTTAAATCTAAGACTTTTATGTACCCAAATGTTAAATAACTTTTTTGGTACTTTAATTGCATTAATTTATACTAATATGCATTAGTGTATATAAAACATTTTAATAAATAATATATAATAAAAACATGAGAAATTTTTCTTTTTTTGCATTCCTTTAAATTTGTCCATAAGTGTATTAATATTAAATAAAATATTTGAAAAAGCAATGCATACTAGACTGAATAGTTTTCTAAATAAACATAAGATTTTACGAAATGAACAAAACGGTTTTCAAAAAAAAAATCAACAACACGAGCTAATTACACACTAATTCAGCACATAACAGAAAACATTGATAAAGGTATGAAAGCTGTCTTTTTCGATATGAGTAAAGCATTCGATTTTGTAGCCCACGAACTGTTGCAAATAAAATTGAAAAATATGGCATTAGAGGATTTGCATTCCAATGGATACAATCTTAATGCGTTCAAATAACTATAATTAATGAATTTAATGAACATGTCACATATAACTCTAAATTACAACCCACTACAAAAGGTGTGCCACAGGGTACAATTCTTCCCCCCCGAACGGGTTCCCGCCTTGTCGTGGCGGGGGCTTAGAAGCCGTGGCTTGGTCACCCACGGCGAAACAAAGAGGAACCCATATGGCTGGTCCGAGGTGGAGGGCCGGCCCGAGGTGGCCACTCCGAGTGGGCTTGGGAAGCCCACTTCGGATGTGTGTTGGTGGACTGCGGTGAGAGGTGTGTCCTCCCCACCTACCGCTGCAGCCGAGGTGGAGTCGCGGAGGAAGAGGAGTGTTGGTATGGCGATGCGCCACTCGCCCTATCCTCCGCGACTCAAACGGGGCCGCACCGTTGATGCGGTGGTGATGGGGCTGCGGGGGGAGAGGATTGTCGGTATTGCGAGGCGCCGCTCTCCCTATCCTCCGCAGCCGAATCTTGGTTGGCGGCGGAGCCATAGACCAGATCCGCCGCTGGGGTCGGGAAGGCTAGTACTTCTAAGTGCTCGTTTTTCCTGGCCCCATGGCCTTCGCGCATCGGACGCGGGGGCGTCTGTTGCGCAGATGTAATTGGAGGCCGTGGAGGAAGGCGTGCCATGTGTTCTGGTGCGCCTTACTTGGAAAGGAGAACGGGGAGGAATATTCCTCTCCCGATGAGGTGCTGCCATGGGGCGGCAGTCGCTGGTGGGGCCGCGGATGTGTGCGAAAGTGTTCCCGTAGCCCTGCCAATATGCGACGAAGGTGGAACACCATGGGGTTTTAGTCGGTGCGAGTCCGACATAACCCGTCCTTGCCCCCGCGAGGCGGGTATGCGTAGGCATTTCCCCATGTTAAAAAAAAAAAAATAAAAAAAAAGGGTACAATTCTTGATCCTTTACTTTTTATTTTATATATTAATGACCTTCCTTTGGCAATCAATCAACATTGTACTCTATATGCCGACGATATATCAGTTATAATAACAGGTAAAGAAAATCCATCTGATTATGAACTTAAAGTTAACAGTACTGACATCTACAATAAATTGGCTCGAAAGTAACAATTTATGTCCCAATCTACTCAAAACTAAATATATTACATTCTGCACTAACTGGGCAAATATCCCTAAAATGGAAGTCATGAGTCATAAGCAAAAAATTGAAAAGGTTGCTGAAATAAAATTCCTTGGCGTTATTTTAGACCAGCACTGTAGTTGGAAAAGTCACATAAGCTTAATGTGTGATAAATTAGATAAATTCGTTTATGCACTTTAAAGACTAACCAATTTAATAAGTAAAGCTGTTGTAACAGCTTATCATGGGTATGTAGTGTCCGTGCTACGGTATGGTTTGTTGATCTGGGGCAATTCAACGGTTTTTAATAGAGCATTCCTCATCCAAAAGAAATGTGTACGGGCGACCTTTTGATTACTGTACACCACTTTTTAAACAGTTAAAACTTATGACACTGTGTTGTGTGTATGTGTATGAAATTGGAACGTTTGTAAAGAAATATCCACATTTATTTAAAAGATGTGTTGATAATTATACAGATAAAACATTTCCGCATAGAGATGTAACAAGATTAAATTTTAGAAAATGTAAAACTGTCTTTTATCAGAAGAGTTGTCCCAATATGTGTATAAAAGTATATCATAAAATCCCAAGTGATATTCGAAAATTGCCATTTAACTTTTTTCAAAAACACTGACCTCTATATATACAAGTACGCTGTATATATAGAGGTCAGTGTTCAAAAAACATTGAAGCAATGGTTCATTCAAAATTGTTTTTATTCCCTAGATGAATTTCATTGTTATAGACCAAAGTGATATTTCATATAATCTTGACTTGACTTGATAACTGTTGACATGTAGGTACTGTACACCGTAACATGACGATTTTTTTATTTTATTTTTGCATTAAGACTGGATCGAATTTTGTATTAGGTATTTCTTGTTACGTGAACGTCAATGTATATGTGTGTTATTTATCTTGTGACATTTTCTTCTTAAGATTATCATGAAATTGTAAAATAAACCATAGATATTCAAAGAACATTTATATAGCACTAAACCTACAATTATAAAATTATATATTTGCATTCCACTGACGAAATATGATTGTACCATACCAAATTATTAATTCTGTAACTACCATATTTCTTGCAAATAGTGTACATTTAAATCACAAAAATTATGTAAACAGATTAATATATTATATAAGGTAAAAAGGAAACAATCGGGATACCTATTAAGGGCTATGTATTTCTTATATAAATATAATAGAATCTTACCTTTAGCAGTTTTAATAGATGAGTACTTAGATGCAAATACTCTGTACAGTGAGTAGTCATCCACTTCAGGACTTAAATCGCCAACCCATACAGAAAATTCTCTTTCTTGCTGCATGTTAGCTCGCGCCTCCCTTGAGGCTGTGTTAAGCCTAAATCTTACCACGGGAAATGTGCCCGGTATTGGTTTTCCATTAAGTTTGTGCATTGCGTCAATCGCTTCTTCATCTGTCTGCCAATTTAGTATCATATATATTTACATCAAGGGACATCATTTAACATAAAGTAATTTAAGTTGCTTTAATTACACCATTTTAAATGTGAACAACATGCAGTGGTTAGATCAGTGTTTGGGTGCATTTTAAGACAATAACAAGTAAACCTTGTGATCAAACCGAAGATGGTAAGTAGCTGCTGAAGCTGGGAGACCTCTGTTACTATTTAGTAATAATAATGTCCTCCAGATCTAATTTCGATCATGGCAGCCAGTCTCTGCTAGCCATCTGGCAGGACAGGATTATAGTGCCCAAGTGTATGTGCAAGCAAAAGTGCACACTCTACTGTCTCTGTCTGTTACTATTATTGCCAATCTGGCTGCCAAGCATGACAATTACATCATATCCTTCATACCATGCTGGAAGCCCCTTATCCAGGCATGGACTGTTCAAAGGATGATAAAATAGGAAAAAAATTGTTACTTTCAAATATTTTTCAGTTTGTTAATAGTGCAAAAATTTGTGAAAAATGAAAAAAGCATATCTGATAAATATAAAGATTTTATAGAAGATGATAATATAAGAGATGATGATAGATGAAAATTTGTAGTACACAAATTATTTGCAGTCAAAGTAGCTCAAGAAATAAGCAGTCACCTAAAATTTCAAAGATTTCAAAGAAAGAGAAAATTTTGATTTTGCTTCGCATCAGCACCACTAGGTGATGAACGAAAACAGGTTGTAAGGACACCTGCATTGCCTTTCATTATTGGAAACAATACAGTAAAATTAAACATACATTTAGGTCTCTAATTCTGTACAGTAACCAAATATGTTTAGCTGTCTGAGGGAAATTTCAAGCATGGTGAACCACAGACAATCATCATTTTTGCTTAAGTGGTAAGATAAAAAGCTACTATCATTTTTAATTAGTACAGTACTAAATCTAGAAGATATATAAGCCATAATGTTATTTTGGTAAAAAATAATACCTGAAAGTGGACAAATGCATAACCAGCAGGTTCACCAGTAAACTTATTCCTCATCACTTTTACAGCCAGTGGTCTTTGTCCCATACGATGAAAGGCTGCCATTATAAAACTTTCAGTCATATTGGGCTCCAACTAATAAACAAATTTTCAATATTTAAATATATTCAAACACTTTACTTAATGAAACAAAATATAATATATAAAATATGTACCAAAAACCCTGTGGTTCCCGTTAAGTGTGTAATCAGAATCAGTATTCAAACATATAGAAATAATTTTAATTCAGAAAACGCGACCATAAATTTTTTTAAATAAATTAAGAAAAATATTATGTTTTGAATAAAACTATTATTTACGGATTTTATCGCGTTTTAATTACAACTATAATTTATTTCTTTTTTATTATACCGACTTTTCGGGTGCTTTACAACACCCATGGTCACGGGGGTCAAAATATTATGTTATTATAGTTAGTTTAGTTAGTTTACGACGGGCTGGTTTCCGTAACTCGACGTCTAAGCGCGTATTTTGCGTGTGGGCAGGAATAATGTGGTTATTATGTTATTATATAATTATGTGGTTTTATTACCCCTTTATTGGCTGGGGAGTAAGAATATTGTCAAATACTTCGCTTTACCTATGTGCATCTCAGTTAGAGGTAATAATACCACATACAATTTTCAAATAAACATTTATTTAAATCAATTTTTTTTATGATCATGTTTTCTGAAGTAAACTTATTTCTATACATTTGAATACTGATTCTGATGACAAACTTAACAGGAACTACAGGGTTTTTGTTACTAGTTGTGTATATATATACTGGATGACCATTTTTACCGTCTGGAAAAAAATAGGGTGTAACGCATGAACGTTTTAGTAGTTAAGCCTATGGCATTGATATTTTACAAAAAATAAAAACAATAATTTGAATTAAATAAATAAATCAAATAAAATCTATCGAAATTCAAATCATATCCACCCTACTTACGAACGGTAATAAAACAATAAATTTAGTAGGTATCTTTGACCCTGTCACTTCGCAGGGTCACAGGCAAAATGGGCAAAATGTTTTTTCTGAGCTAGCCAACTCACGGACCAGTGCGCACGCACGCATAGAGAAGTTATTTATTTGCACCCCTTAGGGGTCCACCCCTATCACCCTATTTTTTTCAAAATTTATATGGGACAATCTTCAAAGTATAATCTATTTAGGAAAAAAAGAATCATTAACATTGGTTCTTTATCTGCGAAGTCATCATATAAAAGGAGGATGGCCAAATCGTACCTGACAACGAAATGATAGCGTCCCAACATGAAATATTTATGTAAAATACCCTTATTGTTTAAGGTCTTAAAATACACAAGAAATATCTCTCTAAGTAGCCACAAAAATAAGTTATCCATTTATTTCTATTTTTGTGACTGTTCAAAATTATTTCAAATAATAGTTTCAGAACGCACTTAATGACGATTCATTTCGTGTATGAAAAGACCTGGTGTTCAAAGACTATAATTATTCACGTTTTTATGAATAGTTGTTAATTTTAATTCAATTCAATTAGTATGTAGACATCAAATCAACTACTATGCTTATTTATTATGTACTGGATTCTTGCCATAAAAATAATTATGTCATCGTAAGCTGAACGTTTTGTTCAATTATAACATATATACAACGGAACGCCATTTGTCATCGCTTAATCTGTGGTCATCAATCCGCGCCAGTACCTATAGTTATTTCTTTCTGTTGTTTTGACCTCGGTATTGTTTTACAGACAGATTTTTTTCACATCTTGGATAATTGTGAGAGACATTGTGAAAACTACACTGCTAATGCTATGTATTAATTGTAACATATGTATTGATACACTTCACCACCATGTCGTTTTTAAGCTTACGTAATTCTTTCTAAGTTCTTGCGAGTGTAATTCTTCAATAATAGTATGTATTTACATACCTATTTACTTTATTACTCTAACATAATAAATCATCATAATACAACTCTAATCAATTATACATCATAATACAACTATAATTCTTATTTTAGATCACTGAAGAAGATTCAGATGAAGACGTGATGCCTGTCAGCAATTGGCAATATAGCGTGTCAACTCTTAATTACCTAACGAACCTGGTGCTTCATCTTTCCGTGGCCACAAGCATGTTTGTATACTTTGTGTAAGTTCTCTGGGGAATCCTAAATGTGACCTTATTATGAGAGAGAATTCAGAATCAGTTGCTATAAGCAATACATGTTGAGCTTCAAAATAGAATTGCCTTATGGCAGGTAATAATTACCTTTTTATTTTGTACTTTTTTTTTGTTTTGTCTTGGTATCAAAGTTATAGTGAATTTATCACTGAAATTTTATATTGTTTTGTAAAAATGTGTGTTATTTGCTCGGGTTTAGTAATAATGAGCCAAAACATTTATATTAAGACAAGGCTGTATGGTTGTTTCAGGCAATTTCAACAGACCATGTTTGTCATCCCTGTTGGCTGAGACTCAAGAGAGTTGCAACACGTAATATGCAGAAGGCAGAGCCAGAGCTGGAGCAGGAGCCAGAGCCTCAACCCCAAAAACCAAACCAGCAAGATGACGTAGTACCTCGGGTGATTAGTTTGCCGCAGTATAGACGAGCTGCAAACACTGCAGCACATTGTGTTTTTTCTGTTTGCCACAGAGCAACAACTCTTAGCAAACACAAATATTACTTACCTATAAACGCTCATATTTGTGTAGAACATACATTTATTTAGTACTGATTGGGATGTGTTGTTCAATTCTTAAAATAGTTTGAGAACATTTACGGCTGTACAAGTGGAACATGCTCTTTCTTTTATAAATGCTTTCAACACATTTCTGGATTTCTCGAGTATGGAAAGTGTTGAAAGATTTGGTGAGCATTTGTTTCATTATTGGCTCAGAATGAATAAACAACAATTTGAACTTTTATTATATGAAAGCCGCATCTTATAAAAACAAATAGAGGCATTTTAGGTTTAGGTGCTCTTCTAATGAAGTTGAGAACTGTTGAATCAGATGACCGGTTATCTGAGTTATTAATAGTTCCAAGGCGAACATTAGAAAAATTAATGGATAAGGTTAGGGAAAATATTGGTACAAGATTTTGTGCCTAGAAATCTGGGAATTGAACACATATCCTTTGAGCAATTGTTACAACACAATTTAATGATTCCAAATGCAATTTATAATCAAAATAATGATAATGCGATAATTATATGTGATGGGACATATATTTTTATAAACAAAAGTTCTGATTATATGTTCCACAAGTACACATATTCTTTACATAAATACAAAAACTTTTTAAAACCATTTTTGCCCATACAAAGCTACCACAACTGATGCCGATATAATGAAGTCTCTTTTCAGAAATGAAAACTCTCCTCTCAGACAATACTTTCAAAATAACAATGTTTTTATTCTAGACAGGGGATTTAGAGATTCAATTAGTTTGTTAGAGGCTTGCAGCTACAGTACATATATGCCTGAATCCCTGCTTGAGGATGAACATCAGCTCACGACTGAGCAAGCTAACAGGAGTCGTTGTGTGACCATATGCCGATGGGTGGTGGAAGTTGTTAATGAGTACTGCAAACGATACTTTAAAATATTCCGGCAAGATTTTTTTAATAAAACTGTTCCACATATGATGCATATGTTTTCCATAGCTGCGAAGCCTTTTAAATAAATTCAGTGTTCAATTAAAAACCAGGAATGATACTGAGCAAATCATAAATGTGATTAGAGAACCATTTCCATTAAAAAATAAGTTATCTGATTTTATAAATAGTATGAATATGAATAGACAATCATCTGATTTTACTAGTATTACAGCTGATTCCAATACTAATATTATATTCCCCCATCTAGAATATAGTGAAATTATATTATTTGCCCTAGGAACATATCAGATTCAACAGGCAAGGTCCTATTATAGTGAACATGTCAGGTTACACGGAGGGTATCGAATTGAAATAAGCAGAGAAAACATTAATGTAACAGAGTATTGTTTGAGAGGAAGTGGACATAATTCACTTATAAGAAGCAAAATCAAATCCAGACACATTTCGAGAAAAGTATATTATGTTTATATATTAATTGAAAATAATGTGTCTGGAAGGGAAGCTATAATACAGTATTGCTGTAATTGGTTAGTTGGTAGAAGAACAGTTGGGTGCTCTGCACATGTTATGATGCTTGTGTGGTACCTTGAGTGGACCAGGCATCAGCTGACAATATCGCTAGTGCCAGCATCACTCCTTGATGTTGTAGTTGTAAGAAGATGATTAATAAAAAGTAATTTTGTCTAGCCTACTTATTTCATTAAAGTACTCCTAAATTCCACCATTACACTTCATTTACTCCCGAAACCTACCATTACTCGATTTTTCAATACATATGCAACTTTAGTATCGAAGACTGAAAGACAGTAGGTATCTAGCGACTAACTCTCTTCTGTTAGAATTGAAATGATCAAACTACAAAAAAGCCTTGAAATCTTTCAGGAAAGACTTCGTGTGATAATAATTACGCCATACTTGTTTTTTATGCTACATACTGTGCAAGCTAGTGCAATATATGTAGGTGTAGTTTTTATTGAATTATCGGTCATAATTTGTCGTCAAAACTGTCAACTTCACGAGACGGTTTGACAGACGGCTCTTTTTGACATCGAACTCTAAGAGTATGATGCGCATACGTAGGGTGCGCTTTGAGAGATGTTCTATTATTGGATAGTAAAATTATTTTAGAGAAATCTAAATAAATGGAAACGAGATCGCTAATTATCCTCCTCACTTATCGCTAACTACACTTTTAAGCAACATCGCAGTCGGATAAAGCATCCAAGCAAGGTTTTTCGTTAAAAATCAAAATGTACAATAAATTGCCTTTAGAAATAACAAGACTTCCATTAAACGCGTTTCGACAAGTGACAAAAACATACTTTTTGAATCACGCTTTCTGTAATATAGAAGAATATATGAAATGTTCATTTTCTGACTTGCTTGACATGTAAATGCAGATGTATTTTAATTTGTAATTTTAATAATCTAATATCATTTGAATTGATTGTAATTTTGACATACCGATGTTATATGAAATGATCAATAAATAAAAAAAATAAAAGTAAAAGGTATTTGTTGATTCAGCCTTAAAAATATTTTTGACGTTATTATAAAAAATCGTGGCTATTTAGATATTATTTTTAAACGTGATTGTGTTTACAACATAAAAACAAACCAATCTAACTATAGTTTGTTTTGGCACATGAAAAAAAAGTCAAGTCCAGCTCCTATAGACATTTGGCTATCCTCCTTTCTTAAACAATAATAACTTTTTCCCCTATTTTCTACCCTTGAGATAGAACTTTTTATTCAAAATTTAATGGGACCCCCCTTTAGGTAAAGCCTTTTATTAAAAAAGAATTATTAAAATTGGTTCACAATCTGCGAACATACATACAAAAAAAGAATATACACTCAAATTGAGAACCTCCTACTTTTTGAAGTCGGTTAATAATGGTTAACTTTACGATTAGTTATTTTGTTTAAAAGTGCCCATATATTTATGTATAAATTTTTATCAAGTCTTTATTAAATGAAGATGCTATATTAACGCTGATAGCTAAAGACTGTGCTGAAAGATGATGTCCGAAGTGACGTATATTAGGAACCATCTGATTTGAAAGAAAGTCGTGTAAGTACACATAACATCCTTACTGTGGAACATGTTTTTCGCTACCATACACACAGCAATACAGATATTTTAGAGGTAAAAGGACTAATGAAGGTTCTAATACTGTAGGGCTAAAAGATAACCATCTGCCATCAGATTAGATATACAATTCAAATTATTGTGAAACTGGATATGTTGCTCCCTTGAGCCGCGAAAGATTCGACTTTCTTGTGAAATGTTTGCATTTTCACAATAGAGATCCAATCTCTTTACACCCATCACAATAATTTAGTATATCTCATTAGCTCTCGAGGCCACGCGTAATATGACACTCCCGTTCGCTTGCGACCGTAATGGCGGGAAAATTTGCAAATTAGCAAATTTTTTGCTATATTGCAAATTTTGCTATATTTTCACTTTGAGACAATATTTATGGATAAAACTTACAGGAATTCTTGTTGAATGTATAAACTATTGAATAAAATTATTTTGGTTGTTAGAAATTATAATAAAATTCATAAATTACCCTTTATAGCATAAGTAGTAGTATATACTTCACTTTTAGTGCCAAAATTACTACTAATTTGAATTCTACACTTTTGTTTTTGGAGAAATTTATATGAAAATGTTTGGAAACATGTATATTTTTATGTTTTATGTGTTTCCATTCGTTACTCATACCAAAATATTAAAATATTATAAAAATTAAAAAAAAAAATAAAATAATATTTTATCTGTATGACATTTCGAACAATATTTCTAAAATATGTTTGTGTGAATTTGAAATAAATACAACGTCATGTTATTTGAAATATATACGAAAACTATTTTTACTTACATTTTACACTAAAAATAAATGAGAATTTGAAAAATAACACATTTATAACTCACCTGCCAAAACGGGCTTTCCGGAATTTGAAGTACTTTTGGCAATTTACTTTTCACTTTTTATACCACAAATTACATATCTACGTGTTTACTATATTACAAGGAATATAAAAAAGTATAATACTTTCGTTTTTAGTCCAGACACAAATATAAAATTCTATAAAAAAGACGGAGCACCTACAACAAAGTGACACGTGGAACGCCGGAAGTTCAGAGTGATTTCTTTTTTTTTTTTTCTAAGAAACATTGCCAGGTTATGGTTTAAAATAAAAGAGCATATCTTTTTCTTTGATACTATTATCTATTGCATAGTGTCTTTGGTTTTGTTTTAATTAAAAAAATTCTTTTTCAAAGGGTAGTACTTGTCGCCCACATGTGCACCTTGATCGAGCGAGCGTAAGGTGTTTATTTCTTGAGCACATGTGGGCGTCGCGAGAGCTAACGGGTTAAGCTTATAACATAACTTTGCAATATTTATACTCCAGGAACAAATGCAACAATAGATGAACAATTAGTGGGCTAAAGCCCAAATGCAAATGGAAATTTGGAGGCAGATTCTAATTTCATATGTACATTCCAAATAAGCCAAAATATGGGTATAAAATAATGGCTGTGTTTGTCAGAAAAAAGCACTAGGAAGCGCTTGTAAGCAAAATGGCGATTGTAAATGGTAAGCCCTGTCAAATGATAAATAGCTATTTTCCTCAAGGACACTAAGTTAGCTTTAATCGGGGAACCTAACCTAAGTTCGTAAAGTATTCATATTAAAAACTTACCAATCATGAATTTCCAATAACATGTATAATATGTTTATTCATGTCATTATATTACTTGAAATTAATTGCACAGAACAACTTATAAACTCTACTTCAAAACAAACAAAATAAATAACCAAATGGTGGATTATGTCAGCATTACTGAATGCAAATGCTAGCCGAAAACTGTATAGTTTTGCTATTTTGCTTACAAGCGCTTCCTAGCGCTTTTTTCTGCTAAACACACCCAATAATGCAAGACCATGGATATGAACCTATTACATGGGTAATGCCACACTAAAGCTGAGAAAGGAGACAGATACTGAAGGAAAATCACCACAATTAACTCAGATTTTATGTCACAAACACCAAAGCAAAAAGCCTACAACTGGAGTCAAATAAAATGGCCATAGTTCGTAAAATTCGTGAAAATTAAAAAGAGATTCCAGAAGACATGAAAAATAAAATAACAAGGCAGGTTGGCAGTTCTATACTTTTGATACTATGGCCCCACACCTCATTACATGTAAAACTTATCCACTGTTTTTGCATTGAATACAAAGAACTTGAAGGATATTTCTTTCGTAGAAAGTATAAGTTCTAACGTTAAATTTTATTGCATAGTAACTTTGTAACTAGTTGGATCATCAAGTAGTTGGTGAATTTATGAATTTATTTGATATTTTACCTACCACCTTATTATCTTTACATCACACATTAGTATTAAACAATACAAAAAATACTTACACTGCCCATCCATAGTTGGCACTGCATTGCCATCAAGTTCAATTATCAATTTTAGTAGTAAATCCGTGAATCCGTGTTTTTTTATAAATCTAAAATAATATATCATAGATTACTGACTATGCTGACTATGTACTAATATATATTATATTCTGGCTAGTAGAAGGTAGAAGCTTGTTGTTGTCATAGATAAATAAATATGTAGCAAGCTGTCAACAGACAGTCTTTCTACGAGACAGACATTTAGGCATTTTTTTATTTATCTGTTTTTCCGGCTCTGGGTTCTAGCCCTTCTAAGCCTATCATTTATTTCGGAATCTTCATTTTTATATATTTTTTCTTCACAATATGCTGATGCGTCACATTGCGAAGTTTTTGAGAGATTTAAACGACAATTCAACCTAGCGGACAGTTGATGACGACAGCCACTCAAGTTCGTAAGGCGCCCAAGTGATCTAAATTTTTTGAGGTTTATATAAACACCAAATCACTTGTTTCGTCGTTTTCTCCAATAGTTCACACTCGCAGACACTTAATTCACAAAATGGCATCACTTTTACGAATCAAAATCCACTTCAAATCATTATTCAAGCGACAAACAGGAGTGACAATCCGTCGACGGCCAAGTTCCCACAGAGTTAGGCATGGTGGTTTGAGAATAGGAGAACGATCGCTGTAGAAAATGGTGTCTCAGAAATATGGACAATATAAGTGAGGCGCTGCGACCGTTATGTTGTCTAAATAAAAGCGGGCTGTTGTATCCAAGTTTGAAATGATTATAATATAATTCAAAGAATAAAAGAAAATAACAAAATTATTATTATTTATTAATAAATAAATTATAAATTATGTTTTTTATAATTTTAAATATTGCAAATATTATAAATTATTACAAATATAAGTTATTAATTATTATTGATATATTATTTTTATTTGTATATTATTTCATTATTTTTTAATGTTTCTTTTTGTTAATAATGAAAAAATTACTTTGCTGACACTACTTACCGATGGCAGTGCGGCTATAAATTCTACAAATTTTCAGGGATATGCGGGCTAAGTTTTAGTACGTAGCAATCGTTCTCCTGTTCTCTAGCCTCCATGGAGTTAGGCATGAAACCGATATATCAAAACATAACTATAATACATAATTATAGTTATAGTAATAAATATAATATATAATTATAACAACCTTATGTTACAAAAATACCATATCATATCGATAAACCTAAGTACTTAAACGTTATCAGTTATCACATATCCAATCAAAACCTGGCCAACGTATGAAAACGAAACCGAAACGTATAACGCAAACAGTGGAACAATCTTCTAAAACGGAAAACGGCCCATTAACCGATGTCCTTCGTTAATATTCGTCGCTTCTCGTTCTTGCAACGCTAGTATAAATAGGTATAGAAAGTGATGAAGCGAATATGGATATCGTTGCTATGTTTTGGTAGTTATTACAAAACGGCGCACATCTCGAAATATAATATATAGCTAAAGCAATAAGGTTGAATTTTAAATGGTCTTTAGGTGATTAGGCACAAGGCTTAGATTTTTATGACCATATTATATTTTGTTTATGTTGGATGGAAAGTTATGAATTTTTTTAAAACGTTAACGTAAAATTACGCACTTGACCATGGTGGTGCGTGGCGTTCTCTTAGATATAATCTATAAAATTATTAATTTTTGACGTTGCGTTCATGCATTTATTTGCAATATTTTTGTGCATTTTGTACATTAGTTTTAATTCAGACATTGATGTGTACAACGAGAATAATATAGTATAGTGTAGCTTAAGTTGATTTAGACTCTCTAAATCGTTTTTGTAAAAAGACTTTCAAAATGTCGCATAAGGTTGGTAATATATGGTCTCACTTCAATAAAAAAGTCAATTTCGTGTACTTTGCTGTTTGTAAATATTATCAATAAAAGTTATCCTATAAATCTACTACTGGGAATTTAAGTTCCAATTCAAAAAAGTTTTGTGCTAATTCTGTTAAGCATAAGGAATAATCACCAACTTAAGTAATCATTAGTATATCATATGTATAGTGAAAACTAAATAAATAAATAAAATTAATAAATAAAATACCTTTAATTGTCTAAGCTAAGTAATTCGTTAAATAAATGGTTTGCAGTGGTTTTACAGTTTGCGGATATGTTTCGGTTGTTGTTTGCGCATTCAGTAGCAAACGTTACAACTTATATCAATATCTAAAAACGGTTTTCAATAATGATATGAAAAGTCAAAAGCGGATATATAACCGTTGCAGGAAAAACCTATAAACGCCCATGCTTAGAAGAGTACTTTTTATACACCTTGTTGTTACGGTTACTTGTTTGGAGTATAGGGGTAAGGAGGACAATCTCCCATAGGAGAATAGTCGAAAATGTGTCCTTCTGTAAAAAGTAACAGTTCAAAAACCTAACGCTCGAGTATCTACAGGGCATGATAAATCACCGTAAAATACGTTGAGAGTGATTTTGAAAATAAAAATTTTGAAAGCAATAAAATAATTATTGTAAAAAAAATTATGGTGAAAGTCTGTGCAATAAAAAAATTATAAAAAGTTCTTTAAAATTTAGACTGTAGCTATTATGCAAAAAAATTATAAAAAGTACTTTAAAATGTTATGGAGAGTTTTTGAACTGTTATTTCCTGATTACAGAAGGACACATTTTCGACTATTCTCCTATGGGAGATTGTCCTCCTTATCTCTATACTCCAAGCTCTACACTTACTTGTTTCGAATCGACCCTTTGAGTATTAAACCAAAGCAGATGGCATCGCAAGGCATACCCCTCTGTAAAAGGTACGAGAGTTCGACAAATACCCGTTATATAAAACTAGTTGCTCCGCTATATAATATATATATATATATATATATATATATATATATATATATATATATATATATATATATATTGAATCTTCTGACTTACGCAAATAAAAGCTAATCGCTTTCTACGTAAAACTATTGAAACATGTTTGCCTGCACTAAGGACATTGACTAAGTGGTACACTACCATCGATCGCCCAACAGGGTTTACTCAAGAAGCGCTGACGGCATTAAAATTAAGATCGGAGAGTAACACTGATAAAAAAATTATTGTACCTTTGTCATGGATGGAATAAATTAATCAATTGACGGAATACCATGCTAGCAGCCAAAGGCAACCAAAATGTCTTTTAGAACTTGCATGGAACTCCGTCAATTGTTTTATTTTCATTTCATCTATCATTAATATACAATACAATTTCTTGTCAGGGTTACTTTCTAGTCTAAGTTTTAAAACAGTTAACGCTTTTTTTGCATAGAAAAGTCGGCCATAAATTGTACTATACCACTTTGCTATAGTACGTGATGAAGGCAGACAAATTTAAAAACTTTTGATATTTCGCACTGTAACGCTTCCCCCCTCTCTCAAAATAATAACTATATTAAATACTAAATATATTATATTCCTCTTTATATTAAAATTATATATATATGACCAAGATAAATAAGATATGTTTTGATCTTTCTAAAGGTTTAATAATAGGCCGTTTGTAATATTTTGGCGTGATCGTCTTAGTTAGGACCCTTATTTACGTTGTGTTTGTTTAGTAACTTAGTTCTTTTAGGTGTCTTTTGGAAGAATGAATATTCGCTAGAGCAATTGAAAGCTGTTGGTAGTGCCTTATAAGCTAAATGAACCCCGTTCACGAAGACAGGGCTCGAGAAAGGTAAAGAACATAAAACGTCCCAATTCCACTTGTTTCAGGTTTACATTATTAATTTAATATTATTTATCCCTTCCCGCTCGGAAAAGGCTCAAAATATATTTATACAAAATACCCGATACAAGGGTACACGGCCCCACACACGCCGTGCACGGTGAGCGCCAACTATTTTGATGCACTCCCCCCGAAGGGAAAGCTAATTCCGGAACTGGACCGTAGTCCACAGCAAAATAACTGGCGAACCAGTAAAAGAGGCTTGGCCCCTTGTTAGTGCGTAAGCACAAACATCGACCGAAGTCGCGCATATCAATGCGTGTAAACGCCATACAGAATATGAACGAATCCAGCCACAGTGAATGTACGTCACACGGTTTAGGCAAATAGGCACACTAGCCGTAAACCCTCCGTGAGCGCCACCACCTGCCAGACCACCGCTCCTGCAGACGTGAGTGTATGGCATCACCACCAATTGCATGATCAGCACGGCTAATAGCCGCAGAGCGCGTCATGAGTCTACCGCTCACCTCAAGGGAATGGGGTCCCACGTTGTGCGGCTTTTGGCCGCAGCCTTTAGAGTCTCCTCAGATCCTCCCGGCAGCTACCACCCGCATGAGGTCGACACATATGCTCCACCAACCAATACAACGGCAGATATAGCCAAAAGGCAGTTATAAGATAAGAGTAATAATTCGCCATCAGAAAGGGTTTGTGTCACTGACGTTGAGTAAATGCATTTTCGATCATGTTTGTCTCACCCACCAACAAGTTGCCTTCAATCATTCAAAGGTGGGAAAGTTACAGAGATATAATATTATGTTGTTATATAAAACATCGTGGAGGTCAGACAGTCTGCAGCCCCGTAATGAAGGGACCTGACTTGGGCAAAGCTACTCAGACGTGAGTCAAACCAAGACGCAGAGGGCGCCATTGAGAATAGCGTCCCACCAAACAACCATCGCAAGGACGCAACGCTGCAGAACGCAACAAGCATCAATACGACTATCGTCGGCTTACACCATCCCAAGGTCCCCCATACATCCCAGCAGACATCACCATCTGCATACTTCCATCGACCAGAACCACAAGAGTTCGTCGAATCAGGCGCAGCACACCCGCAGATCCATCACAAGACGCAATACCGCAAGTCCTCACAACACACCCACATGATCCCTATCGATTTTGGTAACAAAGTTTTTATTGTTGTTATATAAAAAATATCACCAACGTATCATAGTAGCACGCTACTAAGACGCCAATGAACAAAACTCCACGTATCATAGCGCTAATGCACTAAGAC